CTGCCCGGCATGTAGAGTAATTAAAAATAGTTCAGTGCAACAAATTCTGTCATTTTAAAAATCCTCAGCGAAATGGTGAGACAGATCGTTTGTAATTTCTGTACAGTTTATTGCTAAAAACTTCAAACCTGATTCTTGCAATGGAATCTTAAGGGAACTTGGCATAAACGAACTGTACTTACAGCTTTGATGATGAATAAATTGTGTCATCTTCTTGAATCATTTGCAATTTCAACCAATTAAATCTAAAGACCCTCAAATATTTATCTAATATGGAACAACAAGGGCTTAAACCTGCTTTAAAAATACATATGAATACAAGATTTTGTTGTTTTGAAGTTCTGAAAATGTGTATCTAAGTCAGCCTCTTGAGAATCTTAAATTCAGATGTTAATCAGTATTGTAAGATGGTTTATTTTAAGAGCTAAAGTGATCTCTGTCGAGAAAGCTCAAATGTTGACAATATTAACTGTTACAGAAGGTTCACGAGGGTCCTTCATTTCAGCACAAACAGCAAAGATTTCTGATACCTGGGTTGCGTTTAAGGGAATTGGGGGACTGCATGCGTCTGACAACCTACAAAGCACAGATCACAGTCATAAGCAGAGAGATGTTGCAGCTTCAGGAATCCACAGGAGGACAAATGATGCCGGATTGTGTAGCAGGTAATAACTATTCTGTTAACGAGGGATCAAATAATATTCTTGAAAGTTGCTACCCATGAACCCCAAAGGTAATTGTTATTCTTGAGAAAAGAAATATAAGAGTCAGGCACTGCATTAATAGGAACAGCAGCACATCAAGTGATTTTGTTTCAAAGACGAAGCAAAGAGCCGAGTCCACCCATGAGATTCCGAGCCGCTCTGTGTAAGTAGATGTTGATATTAACAGCAAAGCCTCGGAGCAAGAGCTCCCTGGCAGGGTCTGACTGAGGCATTTTGGGAGCCGTTGTGTTTGTGAACAAAGGGCTGACAATCAAGCAGCATTGTGTGCATGACACTATAACTAACGGCTGACACATGCACACAAGGGTGATCTTCACAGGCAAGCTGTATTGTTGGCTGACTGCTGTGTAAAACACCAGGCAGGCGAATGTACGCTGACAACGTGGACACGAGAGAGGAGGAATCATAAGCTTGACCTGGTTGAATGAAGCTGTCCACCAGGCAGTTATAGGCATTTTTCAGCAGCGTGCTGGCACTATTCCGAGACACATCAACGTTATAAAAACTATTTTAAAACCAGTACGATTTTTCTAACTGGCCTCTACCTCCCATCACTGCACTGTAAGCCATCTGAGGCTCTCAAGAGTCCTTAGGCAAAAAAGAGAAAGTAGCACTCTTTAATCAATGAAGTGAACCTCTAACCGTATGTCTGCATCGGTGTCAAACAGTCATTTCAGTCCCAGAATATAACGATGTGTGATGTCAATTTGCCAAGCCCAGCTGTGAGTATGACAGATGTGTTATACTGCTGAACGTGCATTACATCTCTTCATGGTAAAACCACATACGTAATTCTGACTGTGTCGCAGGAAGCGGGAGACTGTACACTGAATGTTTCTGCTTTCTATCCTACATTTGTAGTTTTCAGGGGTTATTACTCGGTCACTCTGTCAGTGAAAAAAAAACGACATACTGGGCAGTTACACATTGAATGGAATGTATTGGCAGAATATCTGCCAAGATGATACAAATCGATAGTTTGGAGCAGGAAAATGCCAATCAAGAACTGATAGTGTTGCGTTATATAATCGAGAGAAATTTTTTGTGGGGAGTAATGAACTGAAAACTGATGACATGACAATGTTGATATAAATACCACTTGTCAGCTTGCTGTAAAATCAGTTGTTCACGGGACCGCAAAGTTTTAGCCCACCATCCCATCGACAGAATTATGCATTGACGTTTTTTTCATGGACAATTAAAAGAATAAATATCTAAAACCTGATTTAAAGTCCGTCATGGATTTATGGCTGGAGCGCTCTGAGCTCCAGCGCTCCCTCCCCTCTCCAGGTCTCGAGGTACGAGTGCCAGTCCATGGGGTATTTAACAAATGTTTCCATTATCATCAGGATTTAATCACATGCACACAGATATTTTCAGCAAAAGCGATATTCATGTGTATGGAGCCTCCATGCAGAATGGTGACTGAACAGCCATCAGCCACTATCGGAGCCCAGTTCCCCTGATAGCAATAGTTTGTAAAACGCCCTATCGGCGGTGATTAATCAGTTAACCACTTTACAGATTTAGGTAAAAAGAGAGCAAAAATGCTGGCGTCCTGGTGCGATCCTTGAAACATCAATTTGGGGTTTCTGCTCTGATACTTAACCAGGATCTTTATGTTCTGGATAAGTTTTATGACTCTGACTGGAGCCCATGGGAACAATTCAAACACTGCTGTAAAATGTCAATAATGGATGGCCTTTAGAATTAGATAGTAGCTGTGTAAATGGGCTTATTCTGACCAAAATGCAAAGAAAGAAACCATCAAAGTCCCACACACAAATGCACGTAATTAAAAAAGCTATACTTTTTATATTTAGAATAATTGTCCAATTTATTTAATTCAAGTTGTTTAAGATTCATTATGAACTAAAATTAAAAATGTGTTCAATTATTAGCCTATTGTATTTAAATATGCAGAAACTAACATCTGTGGAAACACATCTGTGTGTGTCACCTCTTAAATAATGTAGCTCAGCTTGTCAGTGGCTGTCAAAATAATTAGCTTATGCAAATGGCGGCTTACAACCTGAGGTAGCCACTTCTCCAGAAGTATTAAACCTGTGTTTAGCATCTAGAGGCAAAGTAGCATGACATGGCAAATGATGGAGGGATGAGCGCTAACGCTGCACATGCAGCTTTCCACACGTTTGTATTAGCATAGCTAATTAGGCATAATTGAGTGCTTTCTACTATCCCATCTCCTGAGGCTTATATCTTACGCCTGTTGTATTTATGCAAAGGTTATTTGGAGACAACAAAATCAAATTACACACGGTGTACAGGCTGTAGATGAATTGCAATTAGGATTTGATCACAGCTCCAAACACATAGTGATCTATAACGTGGCCACAGACCTCTGTCGTTGACTTTGACTCGCTGAGGTTCCAAGTAGAGGACAAGTGTTATATGACATAGAAGAATAAAAACAACTCTACATAATCTAATAACAGTATGTCCAGGTATTTCCAAATAATTCATGAAACATTATCTGACACGTTCGATCACAAACCGTGACAAAAAGGAAATGGGGGTAACATTAGTAGCCACTACGTCTGTCTAGCTTGCGGTGCTTTGTCATATCAGAAACAAATAATTGAATAAAAATAATAACACAGCAGCATTGTTTTAGTTGATGTAAGTTTTGAACACTTGCATGATATCATGCAAAAAAAATCTGGACATTAATTATTTCAACCACAGTGTGTTTTGCCTTTATATTTGAGCCAGAGGGAGACAGCTTAAAATGTCTCCCTCTGAGTTGATGCTGAATATTTGTTACAGAATAAATGTGGGAACAAAGTTTTCCTTTTTGCTTTTGCATATTTCACCACTGCTCTAGATGCAGATTATATCAATGCTGCATTATATCAATTGATTACTTGGTACATTTTGAAAAAGGTCTGACTAGTCAATAAGGGCACGATCTGGAAAATTTGCCAGATGGACTTCTAATTCTTAGATTAAATACAGAAGATGTATTCGTACTGCGAGGATCCCTCGTACACACACAGACTAACACACAAACGTTCAACCAGTAACAAAAGTATCAAATTCACAGCCAGCCAAAACCCTGTTAAAGTGAAATAAGGCGGTTCTATGATCATTACTGTCTGACACTGCCAATTACCGATACGGTATCTCTATTTTGTCTGTACGAGGCAAAAGAGGGATTAACTTCAGGCCTCTCTGCTTCCCGTCTTCCCTCTCATGAAGCTGACTATGTTTACTGACTAATCTACTTTCCTGCTTTGACCATAAATGTGATTACCACCACACAAGAGATAATAAAACCCCATATCTCTGCTGCACAAGAATTAAAACCTAAGCTGTAGCCTTGAGGAATATCGAAAAGAAGAAAAAAAAGGAACCCTCAGCAAAAAGGAATATTTCGTGCTGAGCGCATAGAGCCCCCTACTGGTAAACTGCATTCACTATTTGGCAAAGTACAACACAACAAGAGCTCCATGATCTTCTGTTGAATGCCAGCAACAGGTATGCAGCTACTTTCAAAATGTATCTTCTCGTGTTCCACTGTCGCAATGTCAATCTTTCACTGTCTCCATCTAAGAAGCTGTATTGGTGAATTATCTCTAATCTGGGGACTGCAAGTAAATCCCGTACTGACGGCTCACATGCAAGTCTTGAAGTCAACTCATTGGGGTGACTAAGTTTATGTGCTTTTACCAATTTCAATGTACTTCAACTCTACAGCAATGGATAGGTGGACACTTGATGTGCAACATGACAGGTGGATCATTTTGGCTGTAGATTTTAAATACAGTGTTTGGTGTCGACTTAATGCAAGATAATAAATGAAATGCAGTGATTCATCATCAAGCAACTGTGGACATGGAGAGGATCATACTGAACTTTAAATAGGAAGAACAGATATTGTTCCACTCTACTGCAGTGACATGCTCGCAATAAGCCCAACAAACATACCGGCTGCATCTACATTACATTCAGACAAATCCTTTGGCAATGTCTATCATGAAACGTGGCATGTTGCCAAAACAGTACTTTTGACTCCATTTGGAGCCTCTGATAAACAAAAAGGGGGGCCACGGTACCTGGCGACTTAAATGCTCAGAGGTTTGAGGGAGATCACATAGTTCAGGTTGTGTGTGTGTGTGTGTGTGTGTGTGTGTGTGTGTGTGTGTGTGTGTGTGTGTGGCGATCATCATCATAAATGTTCCATTCGAAGGGGAAACAAGACACGGCACGTGGCGAACGGGGGCGACCGGTGCTTGATTAGTCGATTTCGCCTACCTGATATTTCCTGATGAGGCACATTGACGAGGCTGAATCCTTTAGCGTTATAAGCCTGCCTTGCCTCGCTACAGCTCCGCGCTTTGCTTTCAGCAGCAGATGACAGGGACAGCACCGACAGAGTACATAAGGCGACTTGCAGTCTCCACATCGCATACATCAGTGAAATCCTTGATAATGTTTGCAGGGAAATACGAGCTCCGTCAGATAAAAAAAACACACACACACTGATTGTCAAAAGAAAATAAGCTGTTTGAGGGATTCCTCCAGTGAGCAGGATGTCAGATGTCCATTCAAACAAAAAATGTAAAAAAAAAAAAAAATCACTCCTCACTTTAGATACTGGTACGTCCACCTCATTGCAAAAAGCTGCGTCTCTTCCACCGCGATAGAAGAAAAAAGACCCCGGCGAGCCCGACTGCTCCCGGCTTGGACAGATCCGTCTGAAGACAGTTGCTACCTGGTGCTGCTCTCTGTGCATACAACTTCTCCCGCAGACACAGCAGCAGCCCTGTGTTCGTGTCAGTGGGAGGAAAGCGAAATGCAACGGAGACGCACGCTGCACGGCGAGCAGAGCGCACAAGGGCAGGGCAAAACATGGAGTGGAGTGGCTGCGACTTCAGCTGGTTCGCATCCAGGGGCGCGTACTGTCCCCTGCCTTAGCGCATCCTCCTTGGTAATGCGCACCAGAACACATTACTGTGGAGACACGTGTTGGTGGAGGCGCGGGGACCTGGAGGTAGTGTAAGCGGAGTAGATGTACACATCGCCCTGGTTATTTTATTGTCTTTTATTTATGAGTACAAACTCACAGAACGCCAGCTGATTTGATGATGATAATAACATATGGAAGTAATATGATATAGCCTATCAAATTGACCTCGAACAAACAGACATAGATAACGTGATCCACTTCTGTTTAATCTCTAACAAGTATGTGCAACTTTTCACATTTTTATTTTTTTTAACTCAATTTCATCATTTTTAGGTCAGATCCTGATAGTTAGACAGTGTATACATTTTTATGAAATGACCACACATCGTTGACATATTCTCATGTACAAAAACCACAATGCTTTCAATGGGGCAGAGGCGTTTGCTAGTTTTATTTCTATACAGACAATTTTACCTAATTTAACTTTACCGGCCACAAATAATGCAGTACCTAGCAGCACAGAACCGGCTCGTCACACTATAACATTAATGATTAAAAACATGTTTTCTTCAACAAAGAGAAAACTTTGTTTGAAGAAGGAGAAAAAGTTGTCTTGTTATAATGAAGACAATCTAATAAGAACAGTGTCTCGTTATAACTTCATTCTCTCTTGAGTATAAAAGTAGAGTGCATCTCATAATACCTCGTAACACTCCTGCGGTGTGTTTTTGTGGAATTGGGAGCTACAGCTTGCTTGTTAAAATCAGCTCTAATATCCACTGCAAAAGTGCAATTCGCCATGATTCTGGGTTGTGAAACGTATTTATATTGAAAGACAGAGCTGCCCTGATGAAGAAGAGTGATTCTTAGTGTCGAATTTTAAATATTTTCAGATTTAATTTAGATTTAGAAGACACAAGAGATGCTGAGACAGAAAGAGGGGGGTGATGTGCAACAAGAGGTGCCCTGAGGTCTTAAAACCCTTGACCGCCTGAGCATCCTAGCATCCTATCTCACTATGACTACGAAATATATGGCATTATAAATACTTCCGTCTTCAGTCAGAGATAGTTTAAACAATTTCTAGGTGGTTGTGGGTAGTTTAGGTACCTTGTACATGACATGTCAGAAGCAAGTGTATTATTCAAGTAATGTAGGTTCAGATCCCTATTGTTCCTTCACCCACACTGTTAATGAGTCCTTTGTTCTTCAAACATTTACAAAAATAAATCACAATTGTAGCTCAGCTCAATGTCAATATCTTTACACAACAAATCCAGAGTAAGCCCTCTGCTCACAAAGAAACCATTGTTAGGTTTACTTTACACTGGTATACGTACCATTGACCTTCAATCCGCTGAAACCGCCATGCACTCAGTCCCAAAAAAAGCCTTTGGTGACATTGATGTGTCAGTTTGTGGTCTGGTTAGATATTTTAAATGATAACATGATGCCATATTACTAGAATAAAGGTGAAACGTCTGTGAAACGTTGCAGACCAAGGTTGAACAATGGTGAAGTCTGATCTCAGTCTGCAGTAGCCGGCCAGGAGATCGCACCAAAACAGGAAACGTGTGAATTTGCCAGTTGTACTGTACAGACTTCAAGTAAAGTGAATGGGAGACAAAGCAAATACTCAACCAGCTCCACAACCTCCTGGCCAACTTTGATTTTTCTTTGCAGCCAGAATACCAACATCCACATGTTCTCTACGTAGAGTTGAAGACTCCCCACATTTAAGAGTAGGCTTAAGATTTTCCTTTTTGATAACGCTTATAGTTAGGGCTGGCTCGGGTTTGCCTTGGACCAGACTAGATATGCTGCTATAGGCCTAGACTGCCGGGGGACTTAGGATACACTGAGCTCCTCTTTCCTCTTCTCTATCTCCTTCTGTATGAATTCATGCCCCATTAATGCACATTACTAACTTTGCTTCTTCCCCGGAGTCTTTGTGCTTTCTCGCCACACAGGTCTCCATGGATCCTGGTTATATCTGGACCCTGGTCCTGCCTCCTGCCATGGCCCTGCTGACACCTACTGCTACTATAATTTGTATTGTTAATCACATTACTATTTATATAATTGATACAATTACACAGTTGCCAGTTGTACTGTACAGACTTCAAGTAAAGTGAATGGGAGACAAAGCAAGCTGTCTCCCATCACACATCGACAAGCTTTTGGCATGTCGATGTGTCTTTGAGCGAGACACTTAACCCCAAAATTGCTCCTGTAGCCCTGTCTATCAGTGTGTGAATAGGTGAATGATGGCACGTGGTGTGCAAGCGCTTTGAGTGGTTGGAAAGACTAGAAAAGCGCTATACAAGTACAGTCCATTTACCATTACCATTAACGCACATTACTGAATTTCCTTTATCCCCGTAGTCTTTGTGCTTTCTCGTCTCACAGATCTATTATAATTTTCCTTGCGTGGATCCTGGTTATACCTGGACAATGTCTTGCCTCCTGCCGTGGTTCTGTCATATGCATTGAATGTGTTGTAACTCTGTTATGTTGTTCATTCTGTACACATGACATCTATTGCACTTCTGTCCATCCTGATAGAGGGATCCCTCCTCTGTTGCTCTCCCTAAGGTTTCTTCCTTTTTTCTCCCTGTTAAAGGGTGTTTTTGGGGGAGTTTTCCTGTTCCGATGTGAGGGTCCTGGGACAGAAGATGTCGTATGTGTACAGATTGTAAAGCCCTGTGAGGCAAATTTGTGATTTGTGATTTTGGGCTATACAAAAATAAATTGAATTGAAAGGAGCTCTATATGATTATGCAATTGTGCTTTGTTTTGCTGGCCAGCATTTCATTTCCAAAAGGCATAGCATACTGATTTCTTGGACCAGCCTTCGATCTAGGATTCATGAAAAATGAGCAGATGCAGTGTGGACACGAGGAGAGGAGGAGTAGGACCTCACAACAGGTCTTTATTGTTACTGGTAATCTTTCACTTCTCTTCCATTGTAGATCAATGTATGAATCTGTTGAATACAGAATGAAGGTGGAATGACCCAGGCCCAGCAGAGGGAACAGGACACCTTTATTAGATATAATGTTGTGGAACGGATTTCTTCTGTAATTTCACAGTATCCATTTGGAAATTTGGCTGGCACTGCTTTTACAGTTTTTTAAACAGTGTATGATTTCCGAGGTCAAGAACCTCCACAGTTCTTTAGTCAATCATATTTCGCAGTTGCAAAATATGATTGGCTGATTTCGTGGCAATGCACTACGAGCATCACCACTACCACTCTGGTTGTAGGTAGATGTAGATAAGCCGCCATTACTGCGGTAGCACCAACTTCTATATATTACATTTTTTTAAAGAGCTTTAGCCAGTTAGGAAAATCCTGTAGAACCTGTTACAGTACATATTGAAAAAAGAATCCTCAAATACCATTGAAAAAAGGCTACAAAACTGATTGTGATTAACCCAAAAGTCTCTGCGTTCAATTTAGGTGTAACATGTTCACTTCTACAGTGCCACGCCAGAATTGGCAGCACAGCTTGAGAGCGCCTGATTGCGTCTACATGCATTAAGATGCATATACTCAACAAACTATCCATATGAGCTCCAAGAAGGGCCATGATGACGGAGCTTCTTGAGTTTTACCAACCCATTTTCAAAACACCCTCGCCTAAAGGACACATTATTTCTACTAAAAAGGACTCATCTTAATTGAGCTTTTTAAAAACTGTGAGACACAACCATATCTATTTTACCAAACAGTGCAGCTACAACATGTTAGCTAGACTACTCCCTGACTCTGAAATATACAAATTCCAGTTGCGGATGACCACAGCTGTAAGGTCAGAAAACACTTGTGTTTCACAAGTGTTTCAAACAAGATAGTAACCTTTGAGCCAGCGTCGTAATGTGCTGTTGCTGCATCTTTTGGGGACTTTTGTGCTGTACTTGAGAGTTCATATGGTGCTGTTAGTGCCACTTCTTGTTTTTTTCAGTAATGTCACAGCAGTAGAATGTTATTTCAAAGTATGTATTCAATATTGCTATAAGATTATTGAATTAATAACAAGTTTAAAATGGTTTTAAAAACCAGCCCCAATCAGAGATGCAGAGTTCCCCCTGTAATTATATAATGGCCGTTAAGTTTGACTTTGTGGAAATCTACACGAGGTTTGAAGGGAGCTGTTCATATTAGATAATTATAATAGATCTGGATTTTACACAAAAAAATCTAAGAAAGGACTGTTAATAATTGTACTGTTACTGTCATTATTTGTAAAATATTTAAGAATATATATAGTGAAATATTACAAAAAATGTGATAGAATATCTACCTGACTGTGAATTCAAGATTAAATAATCAGATATGAATAGGTAAGGAAGCACACACTTGAGTCAAATCATGAGTAGAAATGCCCTCTGTTTGGACATTTATATGAGATATACCGCAAGAACAAAGGATCTCTGCGGGCGTAAATCAGACAGAGGATATTACTCTTCCGTGTCAGATGTGGACATTATCTCGGTGCTGCAGAGGAGGACAGACTCAGTCATTTGTGTGATCTTAATGAAATGGAAAATGAAATTAATTTTGCCTCACATTATTCTTCATATAAGGCCCTTTTTTGAAAAAAATAATGGAAAATCAGTTTTTGCCTATAGAGGATTGTGAGGAGCAGCAGTGACTGAAATTGAAACATTTGTTGATAATTTAGAGATGGCTCAGGAACTCAGTTTTCTTCTTTTGCACAATTGTAACAAAGATCATTTCTCTATTTTCTCTATTCGGGAAGTTATTTTCTGTATTGTTCCACTTTGTTCTGTGTAAAATATAGTTTTTCTCAGGGATTGTGAAAATTGTGAAATTGTAAAATTTACTTATGGATTAATTAAATTAAATTAAATTAATTAAATTAAATACAAAGAATTAAGAAAATAAATAAAGACAACATGTCACAATAACTAGTTAATTAATCACAAATAATTTAAAAAGAAAACCAACATTCTGCACATTCACTGTTCAACTGATACTTTTTATAATAAGTGATAGATGGTCT